TTTTACTGTATATACGGTATATATACAATATATATATATATATATATATATATATATATATATAATTATTGTTATTTAAATAAACAAAATCATTTTGTGCAACACGTTTTGTTTGGTGTTATTGACTTATTTTAAAGCAGAAAAATCTTGCTTATTAAAAAAGAAAAAAAGAGAAAGAGAAATCCAATCAGTGAATTGAATTAAAATGTAAAATAAATATTTTTCAGTCAGTATACAGTAGATCTGCATCAATAAATATTGAACAGACATCGCATATGCGGTAGCCATAATGATTTAATATATTAGGTGCTATGTATTGGTGGGAAAAGTGAGAATTAATGTAAATGGATCTATGGCTGTGATCGTACAGTCAGTGTTGGGTTGATGACACATCAGAGTATCCAAGATAAAGTGTTTTCTAAAATGCATTTGCAGGTTAAATGTAACTGTAACAACGTTCGTATTTCGGGAAGAAGGAGGCGGGAACCGGCGAACACTTAAACACTTTAATAAAGTAAACAAACACACAAAATGAAAGTAAAGCGGCAGCCCCTCGCGGACGACTGCAGCACACAAAACACAAAATATAATCCAGGCGTGGTCCTCTCTCGTCTTTCACTGTCGTAGCTCCTCCTTTTATCCTTCCGGAGCTCCTCCGTGGGACTCGAGACCGGTGAGTAGTGCAGGTGTCGCTCATTATCAATTCCCCCACCGGCCTCGCTCCGTTCCCACGGCTCTCGGCCCCGCCCCCACTCGTCACAGTAACCTTTTGTATTCATGTTGGTTTAATATGGTTTTGAAAAACCATCATATGAAAAGTAAAAATATGTTTTCTTTACACATCGAATACATTGTGCTAATCATTATTCACCATCATTCAATCATCATTTCAAAATGTTTTTAAATATAGCATATAAAAACCATATTTGTTTCTTATTTATTAATTCATAAATGTCATCAACCTGAATTAACCTTGCCTTGTCATAAAAATGATCTGATATTTTAGGAAATATGATATCATAAAAAATAAATAAAATAAAATCAATCAATCAATCAATTAAATACCTAATACTTATTTATTCTAAAATATAATAATAAAATATTATGCTGAATTACTTAAGGGTCTCTTTTAAAGAATTTCATAATTTTAACTAGGATTTTTTCTTCATTATGATATCAAGACGGTTTTACCACCCTGATATTTTTGACTGTCTCAGTATTTTTATTTAACATTTTGAATGAGCTATTTTTTATATTTTCAGTTTTCATTTGAATTTTAGTGTAAGTTTGTCATTTTATCATCTGCTTTTGTAATTTCTGTTAGTCTTTTATATTTCTTTATTGCTTTAGCTGATTTTTAAATTCAGTTTTAGATTTTCTACTTTTTGGCCTGGTTTCACAGACAGGGCTTAGACTAAGCCAGGATTAGGCCATAGTTCAATTAGGACATTCAAGTAATTTTTATAAACTTGCCTTAGAAAAAAAAAACAATACTGTGTCCATCTTGAGTCAAAACAAAGGCATTGATCTATTTTAAGATCAATCAGTGCACTGAATCAAGTTTTTTTCAGTTGAAACAGCTCAGACTTACATTTTAGTCTGGGACTAGGCTTAAGCCTTTTCTGTGAAACTGGAGGTTTAAGTTTAAGTTGCTCTTATTTAAAGGTGCAGTGCACAATTTCTGAGAAACGCTGTTGTATGTGGATCGGACGGAGCACCAAAACACACCTGTAGCCAATCAGCAGTAAGGGGCGTGTCCACTCATGAAGAGGGAGGTGCCTGTGTTGCATAGCATGTTTGTGAATTTGTGGGCGGAGCTATTAAGTTTGGAGTAAATAATAACAGCGTTTCTCAGAAATTACTTACTGCACCTAAAAAAAATTTATTTCAGTTTTATAATTTTGGTTAAAATGTTTATAAAGTTTTTTATATTTTATTCATTTCAGCTTTACAATTTTTTTTTTTTTTTCAGCTTTACTAATTTTCATTTACTTTACTTTTTTTTTCACTAACCCAAAAACAATTTTTAATAGTTTTAGTTAACAACAACACTGGTGTCGACGACATCTTTCTCCTTCGATAGCCATTCAAAAGTCTCTTCACTTCACAGCCAAACTGTGTGTGAGCCATATTTAGCGGCCAAACTGGATTGACAACTGTTTTGCTGCTATACGAACAAATATGTATATAAACCCATATGTATTTACTTTGAAAACAACTCCATTCAATCGCAAATAGGTGCCAAATATAGAGTCTGTGGATTAAACAGCGTGTGTGTGTGTGTGTGTGTGTGTGTGTGTGTGTGTGTGTTGTGTGTGTGTGTGTGGTCGAGGCAGGCACAAAGAAGAGAGACAGTGCGACTGAAAGCACACTGAATATATCCGTAGCTTTGGCTCCTCTATCCCGTCCCGTCCCGAGCTACAGAAGACTCTTTGTGTAAACAGAGAGAGGCTAGTTTGATCAGGGGAAAGTGCCTATTGTCTCTCCTGATGTCCCCTGACTGCAGCGCTAAATAAACTCACAAAGCCACACAGAACGAGAGCTGAACAAACCACACACACACACACACACACACTTCTGGCATGATCTTGCCGTCGCGCCTGAGAGTCACCGAAATAATGGACATGCTGGACCCCCACAGATCAGCCTGTTTGCACTAATCCAGCCCAACTGAAACCCCTCAGTCCCTCTTTAAAGTCTGAGAGATGGCTCTGTTTGAATCGATTGGCAAAGATAAAGGAAAAGTCACCGTCATAAACATACGGTTTTCATTTCACAACCAAATGAATGACCTCATGCAGCCTGGACTAGTTACTGTTTCTTTGTGCTCGTGTCAGATAACAGATTATTTGAATGAACAGAGAGATTTTAGGACACCAGAATATCTCTGAAGATTATTTAAAGTTGTATGATCGCCTTTTTCCATCGTTTTTCGTCATTAGGTTGTTGGTCAAATATTAAACAGTAGTTCTCTGTGTTACATAATGAAGAGCAAATAATGCACATTAACTGTATAACTGTATCATTTAATACCATCATTTATATAATTTATTTGAATATATTATTTTACTATCTTATAATTCATTCACAGAAATCATTAACTTATATTAAAATAAATTAAATGTAAATGTATTCTTATCAAATAATAAATGTAGGACAGATGAGTTGGTCAATATTGAAGAATAGAAAAACAAATCAATAAATGTTCATATACATATATATAAAATTACTATTTTAATACAAATTTTAATATATAATTTTTATATCATGCACATGATCTTAATGTATTAAAATAAATTTGATTACAAATCATTATTTTCATATATTATCATATAAATTAAACTATTTTTATATGTAAGATAGATGAGTTGACAGTCTTGAAAAAGACAAATTAATAAATATTTTATTCTAATATTGGATTTCTTTTAATTGATTTTAAATAAATGATACATTATTTTACTACCATGTACATGATATTAAAATAATATATCAAAATTGAGTTTTATGAATACACTAGCATATACAGATGAACTCGAAACATACATGGACTAAAAGCTACGAAAATTGTGTAAGATATTTTTTTCTTATACTAGACTAGTGGTTCCCAATCCTGGTCCTGGAGAACCCCAACACTGCACATTTTAGACGTCTCCCTAATCAAACACACCTGACTCGACTCATCAGCTCATTAGTAAAGACTCCAAGACCTCAAATGTGTGTCAGATAAGAGAAAGATCAAAAGC